AGTTTTTATACATGAATAGTACTATTTTAATCGAAATTCGATTGATCAATTCAATCATTGTACGAACATGTACCCAATCTTTAATTTTAGACTACCGATAGAAAAAGAGACATATGATTAAACTTGAATTTTTACCTGAAAAACATCATCTTATGTAAATATGAAAGAACTCTCATATAAAATATTGACGTATTCATTGTTCTCCTTAACGCTCAACATATAAAAGATTATTTAATGATCCTAATTTTCCACAATTAATAAAAAAATTAATCGAATAGATTTTCATAAAATTGAAATGACGAGAACAACATCTAAACTGATATTTGTCGTTTGATCTCATATTGGATTCACAAAGAGGTTTCAGTAAGACTAGAAAAGTCTTAAAAGAATTCATCGCCAGAAAGAAAAAGCAAGACTTCAATGCTCCGAAGTACGAGTAAAGTATGAAGAAGCGCATACGACGTACGATACTTCATTTGTACCTGAATGCACTTCACTTGCTTGTACTTTAGAGTACCGAACTTTTACTTTTTTCGCATTGGTTCGTCTCCGTAGACCATTGGAGCCGAGTTAGGATTATTTCACTGAATTTTCAATTCACGAGAAAGCCTCCTCAAATGTCTCCTTCCGGTTTCTATGATTTTTTGCCTATAGATACTACATAATGTTCCAATACAAATCCTAAAAGGATTTCAATTCCTGTTGAAATTTAAATAAGCTATCAAATATTTTAATATATCTTTTTTTCAGGAGACTCCAGGTTTTCCTAAAAACCTCGTGCTTTCAAATTTCAATGTGAAACTTTGTGCATATAGAGAACTAAAATAGACTAACTTTCATAAAAAAATTCACAATTTTTGAACACAACTCTCTTCGACATATGAGACTTTCATGATACAGACCCTTTTCCATGGATAGAGTATATAACATGCATTTTTGAAAGCTTCATATCTTGAAGAAACTTTATTCAAAACTTCTAAATTTCTCAATAGTACTTAGTCTTGTTGAGTTCTCTATATGCTCAAAGTTTCAAATCAAACTTCGATAGTTTACGAAGGAATCTCTACAGATGTCAAACTGTTTTTCGATCGAGATGATGTTCATGTGGTGAATACTAGAAAATTCTAGAATGATTTTGCTCTTTCAAGCCTTTGTTCTTGAGATATCGAAATTTTCCTGGGTTTTTCAACAAAAAGCTGAAGTCATATGGAAAATCGACTTTCGACTTCAAACTTTCCATGAATAAAATTTTCAATGAGATTTGTTCATTGAACTGGTTTTAGCTTTTCTAGTATCTCCTATCTGGAGTTATTTGAAATTCTCTCATATGTAAAAGCGAATTTAGTTCATATAGTTACATCTTCAGAAAGGAAACACTAGTTGCACAATGAATTAATCTCATTGAGGACTTTGTTCATGCAAAGTTTGAAGTCGAAATTCTCATGTGATCTGAGAGAAACCACAGCTTTTTGTTGAAAAATCCAGTAAAATTTCGATATCTCAGAGAACGAAGACCCACGAATCCAAGCCATTCTAGAATTTTCTATGACTCATTAGCACTCATCAAATCAACATAATCTCGATCGAAAGCCTATTCGATATCTGCAGAGGTTCATTCGTTAGTAAAATAATCAATTTTTTATTTTCGAACTTTTCTCAATGTACAAAAGCTCAATATAAACTTATCGAAATAAAACTTACAACACCATCAAAATCTTCACCACCTAACCATTGAATTAATTGTTTCATTCGACTATTATATTTAACTTTAGTTGATGTATTTTGACTTTCACTTATTAATGATGAATATGTTGCAAAAATAACACCACGTTTTATTCCACCATTTTGTGGTGAAGATATTTTAGCATATTTTAACTAAATAAAATACGAAAGATAAAAAGAATACAATTTTTTTTTTCTTTCATTAATACTTTATTCAATGCATGAACTTCAATAAATTGAGCACCAATATCATACAAATCACGTTGTGCATCATATTTAAGATCATTCGAAACACTCAACCTAACAAATAAAATTCATATTTCATTTTCAATTTATTTTCTTTCAAATGTACCATAAAGATTTACGTCGTCCAAGTAAATAATTTTCATAAATAAGACCAGCTATTGTTCGGCCTTTTCCAACACCAGCACCATCACCTTAAGAAAAACAAAACCAATTCAATACACATATTATATTTCTTGAAAAAAAAATTAAAATACCAATAAGAAATCCAGCTCTTGTTCCATCGGGTAAAAATGTATTATGACGTTGTGAAGTATAAACAATTGTTTCAAGTTGTAAAGCTGATAATGTATTTGATTGAATTTTTTCATTTGGAATTGTTAATTGATAAGTTATATCTGGCAATTCAACTGAAGCAAGTGATGATGTTTCAACAACTGGATCAGGATGTCGATCACCTAATCGAACTAAATTAAACACAAAAAAAATTATTATTTATTTTAAATCATAAATTTACGTTTAAGTGGCATATAATCTGAGTAAGTATCCGCTGCTTGTGCACTTTGATCTTCTTCATCATCTTCTTCTGCTTCAATATCAGTTGGAATTTTAACTGGAAATTCCTAAATAAGAAAAAACCGATGATTATACTTTGATATAATTATTAATTAACATACAGTTGATAGTGGTAATGTTGGTCTTAAAGCAGGAATAAATTGATGAACAATACTTGTTGATGAAGATGGATTTTGTGATAATGAAGAAAGTGATGTAGGTACTGAATAAAGACCTGATGGAATTGTAATTGGTCGTTGTAATCGAATAATAGGACGATTTTGTACAGGTGCATGAAGACCATGTAAAATAATTGGACGTGTTATTGTTATAGGCGATGTTGGAGGTTTAGGTAAATTAGGAAATGATTGTGGTTTAGGAGGTATTGAAGGTTGGGATTCTATTGAACGTTGCTAAAATGTTTTATTTAATAAGAATAATGAAATGTTTTATAGATAAACCTTACACGTGCAATTTCATCTGCTTGTCGATTTGTTTCTGATAATTCTTTAACAGCCATTGAAAATGGATCATCTTCATCTTCTGCATCATCATTTTCATCGATAATTAAATCATTTGTATATGAACTCATTCTTTTTATTTTTAAAGATATTTTATTATTATTATTATTGTCGATCGTCTAGAGAAAAAAATTGACTAGTTGTAGCGGATCTATCGTCTTGACAAAATGCATAAATCCAAATGTCATTCTATATACATATTTATATATTTTTTCGATAAAAATGTCATTTAATCACGATCAATATCTCATGGCACTCATACTTTAAGGACTATATCTAAAATATATATTCAGTAGAGTTATTGACATTTTCATTTACTCGATTAACATATGACTGTTCTTCTTCTTGCGAGTATTTATACTTGCTTTAAGAACCAATGATCAATAAATATTATGCCATCTGTCTTTTCAAATGATTGGTTAGATTGAAAACTAATATTAGATTCATCTAGTTACGTATTACGTATCATAGTTCGAAAATTACTCAAATGTATATTATTTACACGATTTTTCACTCTTTATGACAATTCACCTACAGAAAATGAATCATTCTGAGAAAATGTTTTTCCCACCAAAGCACAAAAACAATAGTTTTTCTTATTCGTCTCAAAGATTATTCTAATAAATACCAACTCTGATAAACAGTTTGTTATCAACTTGAAAACGATAATTTTCTGGATTTTAAAAACACATTTATCTTTTGTTTCAATGATAATTCGATTATCATCTTAGTGCTACGTGACTTTATCTTGGAAAACCGTCGGTTAAAAATTCTTTGTCTTATCGCATTTATAATGATTCAATAAAATCAAAGAAATGATTTCTTTTTTTGTCATAAGACTTTCAAGAAAGAACATGTCAATGAATCATTATAAAATGTTTTCTAATGGAAAAAATTGAATAATAATCTTTAAAACTAAGAATTATTTATCAGAGAAAAATTAATTTTCAACTTTCTAAATTTCGATGAATATTTTCCTAGTTTGCACAAACATAATCTTTATATACAATGAATAATTTAACTGAAAGTTAGGTGTATAAACGAGATTTACTGAATTACAATATCAACCAGAAAAAAAAAACAGTATTTTATAACTTCGAGTTAACCCACGATAATTATTAACAATAATACGAACATCCATAAACAGCGGAATGTGTAAGTTGATAAGGCTTGATCACACTCGAAACTAGGGTTGTTTTCTTATTTACATCTAATTATCTGTAAACTAAACCAATCCTACAATCATGTGCTCACAGAACAAAGCTATCTACAATATACAAACGTTTGTCTTCTCTTTCCACCTCACTTCATTTTATTTTACAACATGTATTAATCGGAACGGATCGAAAATTTTCTTAAAATTTTTCATGTAAATCATATAAAAAAATGCTTGCTGTTCGGTATAGTGTGACAGGCAATATTTAAAATTATAATCAATAAGTGTTGTCGCAATTATTCTTGTGATAAACTCTTGAAAACTTTACGAAAATTGCAAAAAGTCAAGCACTCTCACAAAACTAAATATTTTCTTATTTCAACTATCGCCATATTGTTCGTTAAATTAATATGTAAAAAGCTGGATTAGGATAACAAAAATAAATTTCCACTGAGCCTCCAGCTCCTCTCAACAGCACTTAGCGACTTGATATGAATTAGAAAAAAGCCTTCCTATGAAAGTGTTATTCCCACAGCTTCATTATCATCTTTTCTTTCTACTAGAATAAAACAAAATACCATGGGTTTTTTCCTCATTACTTAATGATGATTGTTTTTTTTCTTTTTTCTTCTTTCAACTGTGTAATTATCATTAGTCATGATTATTATTGTGACATCTATTCTTATTAATGATTGGTCGAATTTCCTACTCGAATCGAACCCATGCATCGTGGATTGCATTCGAAATCAGTAAACATCTATACGTGAATTTGATTTAATCGATTTAGTTTGACAAAGAAAAAAATGGCTGCATTAGTAGAAAATGCTACGTTATCACCATTATTAGACACAATTGATATTCTTAATCAAACAAATGAAACAAATACAACACAAAAAGAAATATTTGTTGCACGTACAGATGGAATGTTATTATCATATTCATTTCTTCTTCTTGCTGCACTTCTATGTGTTTATTTTGGTTCATATCGTTCAATAACACGTAAAGATAAACAAAAAACATCAGGTGAAAAACCTGATGTTCTTACAACCAAAGATGGTAATCAATATCTAAACTTGTATAAACAAAATAATTAAATTATTTTTTTCTTTTTGCAGCGGCTATGTTTCCATTTATTGCAAGTGGATTTTTATTTGGTATTTATTTGGTTATATTACTTGTTTCAAAAGAATATATAACATTTGTTCTTAATATTTACTTTTTTCTTATTGGTATTGTTGCACTTTTTCGAGCAATACATCCAGTTTTAATGAAAATTCGTTTACCTGTATTGGATAAAATTCGCGAAAGACAATTTCATATAACATTAACGGAAAATAAGCCAGCAAATACGACAACAGAAACAACACAAACAGAAAAGGATTTAATGCATGTAGACTTTAAATTTGATCTTGTTGATGTTGGAGCTTTATTTTTTTGTGTTTTAATTGGTGTTTGGTATTTTCTTAAACGACATTGGATTGCAAATAATATATTTGGTATTGCTTTTTCAATTAATGCTATTGAAATTCTTCATTTTAATAAGTAAATAGAAATATTTTTTATTTCAAAAAAAAAATATTATTTTTTTAAAATTTATTTTTGTGTGATAGAGTTGTAAATGGAGTTGTTTTGCTTAGTGGTCTTTTTGTTTATGATATCTTTTGGGTTTTTGGAACAAATGGTAAATGAATTTTGTTTTGTGCTTATTTTTTATTTTTTTTATTAGATAAATTATTTTGTTTATTTTAGTAATGATAACGGTAGCCAAATCATTTGATGCACCAATCAAATTACTTTTTCCACAAGACTTAATTGAGAATGGATTATTAGCTGCAAATAAATTTGCCATGCTTGGACTAGGTTTGTTTTAAAAATTAAGATATATCGGTTATTTACAATGGCAGAGAATGGGCATATTGAAAAAGCTTGTCTGCTATTAAGTTTTGGTATTCACGATGACTTTCAGGAATGAGAGGAACTATAATTCAGCAGACAGTTAAATACAATCTATGTCACAGAAAAAGAATTGTTATACAGAAATCTGCAGGCAGATCACTGCGCTCTTCGCCAAAAGTCGATAATTTGAGATGATACCTGTAATATATATATATGATCAATATTCAGCAAGAGTGGCTGCAAGGTATTCGGGGATGAGGTACACAACCGACAGGCATCTAGTGAACATTTTTTCAGACATAGCTAAAATTTGGGGGAAAATAACACTCCTAACGCCTTTCTTATCGATACTTGTGATAATATCAATAAACAGGTGATGATTTATCTCATAGTTTTATCGGTCGTGAAAATTTGTTCCTGCTTACTCCACGGAAGGTTTGATAAATTTTGCTTCCTTCATCAGGTCATAGAAAAGAAAACCATTGCCATGAATTGATGTTTGAAGAATATAAATTCCTCTACAACCTAAGAGTTCTATCGACAAATGAGTAATATATTTATTACTCATAATCATCAAGTGATAGATATAGATGAATGTTTAAATCGGAAGAGTATTGTAATAATTCATGAACCTTCTTTCAACAAGAAGTCAATCTATCAACTCGTATAGTTTGCTTAATTTTTATTTTTTTTTCATACTTTAGGTGATATTGTTGTTCCCGGTGCATTCATTGCTTTATTACTTCGTTATGATATGTCTCGTAAACAGGCGGGTAAAAAAGCATCAACACTTTATTTTACTGTTTCATTTATTGCATATATAATTGCATTGATTATTACAATACTTATTCTTCAAATATTTAAACATGCTCAACCAGCCTTACTTTATATCGTACCACTATGTTTAATATTTCCACTTATAACAGCATTGATTTGTAAAGATTGGACAACAATGTTTGCTTATGAAGATCATTCATCAGAAAAGAAAAATGAATAAAATCTTAAAATCAACAAATTTAAAATTATCTATTCATATTATTGTTGTTGATTTTTTGTTTTTCTGTTTTTTTTCTTCTTTAATATTCTATTTATTGATGTTGTATTTCGTTGAACAAGAAGGAGAAAAGAATTCTATCATCGTGCAATAGATCTGTATGACAATAAGAAAAACGAAAAGATTTTTGATACTGTTGTTTGTTTTTTTGTTCTTTTTTTTTCGAAATACATTTAAACGAACTTCAATAGTAGAAAGAAAAACAATTTATTTTACATTTATCCTTAGATTATGGGTACATATCTTAGTACTCGTAATTTAATTCAATGTACACAATCATTAGTGACATTTATTTGTGGTAGTATATGTTTATTTTTACTCTCAATTCTAACCTATGTAACATTACGAAAACATTTACTACCAATATCACATCTTGTTATGGCAATGCCGTTTGGTTTTCCGCCATCGTTTAATCCAAAAGATGATTCTATTTTTCTAAAATCATCAACAAATTTTCCACCATATGTTGTTAGTTATATTAATTTAAGTGATACAATGTATGATAAATATCCACTTGATATATCATCTCATTCATATCGTGTTGAACTTAATTGTTGTTCACCACGTTCATATAGAAATCGTCAACTTGGATCATTTTTTGTTCAATTATTATTAAATTCAACATCAAATCAATTAATTATTGAACATTCACGTTTAATTTTATTTCCATATGAATCAGATATAATTCGTTTAATACGATTATTTATTTTTTTACCATTATCAATATTTCATATTGATTATGATCGATGGTATATAAAAGAAATTTTAATTGAACGTTTAAATAATCATGAAAAATCAAAACGTTTTATTGAAACAATTCAATTAAATATTGTGCCATCGACATTTCAACTTGATCAATGCTCAATACATTTTTATATACGCGATTTAACCGGTCTTGTCTATTTCTTTATAAATTATCCTATAATAACCGGATGTTTTTCGATATGTGCTCTATTTTCTATGTATATGACTTTCTATTTGATTATAACTGGCTTATCAATGTTGAATCAAATGAACAAAACAGAAGATCCTAAGAAAAACGACTGATTACTTATATATTTCGTTGTATTTTTTTAGATAATAAATGTTAAAATGCATGAACATAAATGTAAAGGCTGTTTAATTGATTCAACACATGGCAAATTACAAAAGAAAAAAGAAGTTTTACTTGAATTCATATTTGCTGAAAATTCACTATGTTTAACAGTTAGTGCACAAAATGTGAATATAATTGCATATACATTAAGTAAAGATACAATATTAAAGGTTATATTAGCTAATGAACTACTTGCTATTAATTTAAAAACTAAAAACCAAATAAAAATATCAGCAATAGGAAAAAATCGATTATCTGAATTAGAACTTATTCTTGATTGTTTATTATGTGAAGATTTTAATGGTAAGAAAAAACTAGAAAAATAAAATAAAATCAATTAAGAAAATATTTTTCTTTAGCATATCAAACACATGTAGAAAATTTTTGTCATAATTCAGCTAATTCAAATAGTATATCACGAAATGAAGTATCTAAAATAAATCAGAGTAAAAACTCAATTCATAATGATTCAAGCCTGTTATCAGATACAACAAGTAAAAAACAACCAAAAATTGATAAAATGAAACATGCGAATCAATTTTTGGAGAATGATGAAAATTCACAGCCGACTATGTCTAATACATCGAAAACAAACGAAAAGAAAAAGAATACTCTTTTAAGGTGAGTTTTTAATACATTGTTGAATGTTAAGTTCTTAAACAATAGGATATAAACTAAAGAATGAAAGGAAATGATAACTTTCAAGATAACAAAAAAGATTTTTTTCAAGTAGTTCCTCTTTTAGAAAATCGAATAAGTCGTTTACAAATGTGCAATCTTTTTCTAGAACACTCATAAATAGAGCACATGAGCTTTTATGAGAATTGAATGAATTCTTTTGTGATTAATTTCACTTTGTAACTAGATTCGCTTTGAGAAAATGTATTAGAATTTCAATCTTTGTGATTTAAGTTTAATAGCTTCGTTTACATATAGACATTTTGAAATTTATTTTGGTAGTAATTAATAGGGGCGGATCCAGCCAGGAGGCGGTTCCGACGGTTGGACCCGTAAAGTGATCACAGAATATTTGAATTACATCGTTATTCCAATATTGCGTAATCAATTTAAGGATCCTACCGTGGTCACTAGATCCGTCCCTGGTAAATAACAGGAATAGAAGACCAAGATCGAAAAAAAATCACATGAAAAATAATCAATATTTTTAATGAAAACGAAACATACAATATTCATCCTTATCAATGGTAACTTATAAGTGTATTTTGCTAAGAAACTATGAAAAACTCAAGAGACAGTTCTAACAAGGGTGACAGTCATGCTCACTAAATGATAGTCATTATGTAGTCTATACTCTAAATTTTTTTTCTTAAAATATATTCATAGAATTAAACACATGCTTGGTACCTAGACACTAAATAATCAATTCGAGAGGAGAAACAGTGCTAAGCGAATGATAAGAATGAAAAATTTGCGAGCTGGTGGATCGCATAAATTCTACAAAGAATGAAAACTTTTGCTACAATTAGAAAGAGTCTTATTCTTGTCCTATGGGTACACCGACAGTTGAGCTCCCGACAGTTGAGCCTCCATTGACTAATTACGTAAGGAATAATATCAATATTCGATTACTTTGTTCAACTCAAAAGTAGCGCACCCCAGACATGGGCACAGGAAAATTTTGTGTCCTATCATGTTGTCTGACTCTGTTCTGGCAAGCGGCAGAGCCGGACATAAATTATAGTATTATCCTGTCCTATGGCAGTCGCTGGTGTACACAAACATGCGTCATGTTCCCATAGTATTGCTGACTAGCTGATAAATTTTGCATAGCTAAATAAATTATCGTCACAAAAACTAATTAATCCGATTTATGGACGCATGTGTGAGCGTAGATGAATGTGAACAGAATGTCCATGTTTCAATACGATCACACACTCTCCGTTGGTAAATAAAGCCATCAAGTAGAAGTTGATTGTTGAGAATTCCACAATCGATATCCCAGGGCAAATAATTAGATACTAAGATCTAACAAGATTCTGCCTCTGATCTTGTATGATCTTGTAATATCAGACGAAAATCGTACGAACAATCATAGTCTCAGAAATATTATTACAAGTCATATTATAAGCTTCTTGAAAGAACTTGCTACCTTGTAAGATCTCACTGTAAGATTATAGAAAGTCTTATGCGACAATAAGATCTTTCAAGGATCTTATAGTGCAACTTACTGTAAGATTTCTGAGGCTACGATTTTTTTACGATCTCATCTGATGCTATAAGATCTTATGTCTGATTTTTCGACCTGGGATGGTATGATAATAATAGATTAAGACAGAACAGTAATGAACATTAGATGGAAAAAAAGAAAAATAATTTGAAAAGCGTACTCATTTTCATAAATACCACTGAGTCAGTTTAGGATAACTATAATAGCGAGCCATCAATCTCATAGGAAGATATTACGTATTTCTGTTTAACAGTTTTGAGTTGAACAAAATGATCGAATATTGATATTATTTCTTACGTAATCAATCGATAGGAGCTCAAATGTCGGGACTCAACTGCCGTGTCACCTGTCCTATGTGCTTCTGTTATTCATTTGGATCAATCCACTTTTCCCGCTCCTCTCTGATACACAAAGAAACAATTTTTCACATTTCTCCTATGCGTGTTTTCATCGAGTAATGTTTTGTAGAAAATGGAGCGAAAATACTTTTTGCTTACGCAGTGGATGAACTCTCTTTAGAAACAAACTAGAATGAATCTAGAATGGATTGGTCCCAGGAGGAGTTTTCCATGCGATGCTTAAGAAGATCCAAGAGATTTGTAGACATTGCAACAATAATACAAAAAGACTATTAGTTTACTTTTCTCTGTCCTCTATTTTGATATAGGAGAAGTATTGCTAGTTCACGATTTTCCAAAAACATTCTATTTCAATGATTAAAGAAAGAATAAATGCGATATTTCATCTGTAAATCTAAAACTAATCTAGAAATAAGAAGAAACGTAAAGTTATCAAGCAAATAGTCATAAATTTACAACGAAAAAAATAAACAGTGTCCAAACATGCCGAATTTTACTGTTCAAATCCTCGAAACTATTTCGAAGCGAAGTTGAAACTGCACTCACTTAAAACTACGTGTCTCATTTTTTAAACTTTCCAGTTCTTGGAAAGAGTATAATCGAGCCGCATGAAACTTTAACCTCACACAAGGCACCGAAAATAAGGAGACGCCAATACGAAGAGAAAATGTAAAACAAGATGTGTGTGTTTTTTTCAGAAAATCATGGTTTTCCATAGGACCACATCAGGCTTGCTTATGATCCCGTCGAACTTTGTCAGATCGAGCTGCAATTTTGATCACAGATAATTAAAAGTATTCTCTAGATGTGAAATCAACTATTTTCGAGTTTGACTTTTTCATGCGAATTGATATAGCCTTGAACGCCAGCATCTCAGTTTTGCATCCGAATGTTTACATATTTTTCTCATAATAAAGAAGAATGCAAGGCTTTTGAAGAAGCTTAAAAATGTCTCAGTTATAGTCTAAAGTATCTCCAAGAAAAGAATTTTAGCCTAAGATGGGAGTCGAAACTGGCCCGATGTTGTTCTCTAAAAAAAACAGGATTTCTCAAAAAAACATTAAAAACTTGTTTAAAATTATTCTCCTCTAATACGTGTCTTCTTATTTCAGGTGTTCTATCTATAGTAAACATTTCATGCGGATCGGAGGTACCTTCTTCAAGAACTAGAACTGACCAAAGAGAGAGAAAGGCGAGTATCCTTAATTATTCGACCGCAATTCATCAACTCGATTTCATTTTGATTCTACACTCATTTTTCTACAATGAGAAAACTCATCGAAACTTAGAACACTTGATTTTCATACATATCTAGAATAGTTTAAATATCAAATCATGTTTAACTCATTGTTTACATTTCAGTGCTTCAAATTTTTATCCTCATTCACAACACGATGATCATAGTTCTATCGATGAAAATACTGATCACACTACTCAGCTTCAACAACAACCGTATGTTAATATTAATGATTCTTATTTCCAATTGAAAAAAATTGTTTTTGAAAATTTTTAGACGAAAACGAACAATTGAAAATCAATTTTCACCATCATCAATTCGTTTTCAACATGCAACAAATACCACATCACCTTATTTCTATCATAAAACAGATAATAAAATAAAACGAAATATATCTAATGGTGAATCACGAATTAGTCCATTATCAAATATTTATTCTAAACCTCTTAGTAATAATGCACGTTTTCGAAATGATTATGATGATGATAATGAAGAATATTTATATGATTGGCGTGATTCACCATATCCAACAAAAAAACTTAATAATCAATCATCAGCTGATATATCATTGTCAAAAGCAGTGACAACAACAATGAATTTACGGAAAAAAGGGTAAGAGAATAAAAAAAGACTTCTTTTTATATTTAAACAATAAAATTATTCGATGATTCTTTTTTTTCCAGTTTAAAGAATATTGGTGCAACTTGTTATATGAATTCCATACTTCAATGTTTATTAAATATTGATCCATTTCGTTATGATTTAACAGTTACAAATTCTGAATTAATAACATCATCATTACTTGAAGAAAATACAATATATATGTACAATAATTTCTTTTTTATTATTATTCATCTATCACACAAAAAAAAAACAAATGTCTCTTTTCTTTCATAGTTGTGTTTTAAAAATTCTTGCTCTTTTACAAGATCGTCAATTAACACAATCGCAACATAGTACAACAACTCAATTAACAGATGATGAACGAACAATTGAATCGCAAGCGTTAATTAATTTAAAAAAAGCCGTTGAAAAACATTCAGGCAATTTTCTTGGTTCACGTCAACAAGTAAGATATAAATTAATGTCGATGAGATGGACGAGTATGTTTATATTTCGATTGAATAGACATAGTTACACGTTGAAATGAATAATGTCGGTCAGATTTCCAACCTATCCATAGAATACCTGTATTTAATGGAACGAGTCCATCGGAATGTGTTGGAAGTCGACCATTGAGATGTACATGTGCACATTCTGTACCAGAATGAAACCACCATCCTCCGCCACCATGATTTTTTGGACAATTTGAAACAGTAGCATAATGATCATAAGTAGAAAAACGAGCATTGTAATGCCAACGCGAAAAACCTATTAAGAAACAAGAAAAAAATTCAATTATCCATATTGATTAAATAATCTCCGTGTATTTCTCTTTCAAACTATTATACAAAACTGTAAAAACAAAAGTTTTTCAACAATTAGAAAAAAATCTTCTTACTATCAATTTTTTTTGGTCCCTCCATATCACCATGATATCCACCAATTTGTATTCGATAGCCATCTATTTGATTACCAATATGAAATATTTCATATGTTGCTTTTCGAGTTTCATTATACCAATCCGTTAATTCTATTTTTAATCGACATGAATAAGTATTTGTTAACCAATGAAGATTTTCATTACCAATCCAAAAATCAGTTTGATTAAGAACATTACCAAAACCTCGTCGATATTCAATCCATGTTCGATTAAAATCAACAAAATTGGTTTGTCGATTTTGAATAATTAACCATTGAGGATATTCATCATTATGACAAAAAACATTTTCTAATGTTTCCGTTAATCCAACCAGTATTTGTAAACAATGTGTTGTTCGATTTCGTTTTGGATATGGAAGATTTTGACATGGACAATCAGCACGATTTTCAGAATGAGATATACTTTGAAAATGAAAAAAATATAATATAATATAGATAATAATAATAATAATAATAATAATAGACATTTATGACACAAGGATTTGAGGAAATTTAATTTTATACATCCGACCCTATACATTTCATTAACAATAATGGAAGAATAGGTGTTTGGTTCACAGAATTGTTGTGTTGAATAGGGAAACGAGTTCTTTTTTTGTCTTTTAATCCTCATTGATACGAAACGAGTCATTATTTGAATATACGAGACTATCAGATTCTTAGTTTTATATTTATTTTTCGCTAACAATCAATGTACCAGAATGATAAGTTTACTTTACAAAAAAACCAACTTACTGATTACAATTAAGTAAACGACGTTGAAGTGTTTCATGATAAGTGAAATTATCGTTTGAACTTAACGCAAGAAAGATTTTTTCTTGTTTATTAGTAAATTGTTCAAGTCTTATATAAACAACTGTAAGGATGATAACATAGAAAAGTAAATGAATTAAAAGAAAACAGCACCGTTCAATAGTTATATTCGATGGCATTCGCGTTAGTCTTTGAACATTTAAAAAAGGAAATTTTGCTTGATTGATTTTTGTTCTTGGTGATGTTGTTGTTGTTGTCGCTGTAGGTAACATATCAAGACGATTAACGACTATTTGAATATCAGTATTTGGTTTTAACGGACTAGAATTAAGATGCTTGAGTTGTTCTTCTTTGAACATTGTTCATGTGTATAAAACACTTCTTTCTTATATATGAGTGTGGGAACATGTTCATTCTCTATTGTCGGTTTTAGCTCGTTGAAGGTAAAAAAGTATGCTCGCTAAGAAGAAAAAAAGAAAACGAGCAAGCGGGAAGGAAGAACGATCGAAGTAGCACGCAATTAGATAACCTCAGGCATTATTATTGGCGTCGAGCAAAATGAACAACATTATTTAATCGTTTGTTTAGATTTACTAGTAAAATTTTTTTTCAACATTTAATCGAAGAAAAGCAATGATTTTTATTGTTATTTTGATCAAATAAATAAAATAAAATAACATTTTCTTTTTCTTTTTTGTTCTAGGATTCACATGAATTTCTTAATCTTGTTATTTCATTAATAACTGATGAAATCGATGCTATTAAAATTCAAATAAATGAACAGTCATTATTATTTAAACATAAAATAGTGGATCCAACAACAAATAATTTTCAATTTTGCTTAGCTACTGAACGTTGTTGTGAAATGTATGTAAGAAATAAAAAAAGCATAATTTTACTTTCCTTAAAAGCAATATTCTCTTGAACTTAAAAGTAACAGATATTCATATTTTCAAGAGTTGTCAAAGTAACTATTTTCCAGGACTCATCATAATATTGTTAAAACACCTTTTTTTTTCTTTCTTTCAAACAAAATCTTTTTTTCCGAAAAGAACAAGATCATGAAGCTGAACAATCAAAAAATTGCTCAGGGTTATTTTACGGATATTATATTTCCTTTTGAATAGCTGTGGTATGTCAACAATCAAAACAGAAATTCACACAGCTTTACTTATCCATGTAACAGATGAGGATTCTAAAACAGCGAAAAATAATTCTTTAACTGATTTACTTGAAAATTATTTTGCATCTGAAACCATGGATGGTTGTTACTGTGACAATTGTCAATCAAATCAAAGAAAATATATTAAATATAATCTTGAAAGATTACCTCGGTAATATGAAAAGAAATAGCCGAGATTTAATTAAAATTCAATTTTTCTTTTTTTTTCTTCTGTGTCTAGTATTTTTATTTTTTATTTAAAACGATGGCATATAAGAAAAAATTCTAATGGAGAACTTCAATCAGTATCAAAAGAAGATCATCCGATTGATTGTTCACTTGAAATAAATGTTTATCCATTTTGTTCATCAAATACTTATCAACCACCGATGATTGATTATTTAGAAGAATTACCTAATTTAAAAGATTTACTTAAACAACGTGAACAGATTTTAAATATAATCGAACCAAAACGAGCTAAAATTGAACAAAATGATTCGGAAAAAACAGTAAGAAAATAAAAGTTAATTAGAATTTATAGCAATGTGAGAACATTCAGATCTATATTTATTTTAATAACAAAAAAGAAAAATATTTGTGAATGAACAAGATTTTGCTTTTCTTAGGAAATAAACGAAGAGAAAAACATTATTGCTACTCATGCTAATTATCGTCTTTTTGCTGTTATTAATCATCATGGTGGTTCAAGTGACGTTGGTAAAACTTAAAAGAAATTCATTTTGCTTTTTATATATAAATATTTTTTCAGGTCATTATACATCAACAGTATATGATGCTAAAGGTGATACATGGTGGACATATGATGACACATCAGTTACATCATGTACTGAACAACGTGTTTTAAAAGATTTAGCTCCAGATGCTTATGGCGTTATGTATATGTACAAGTATGTTAACCATCCATTTATGGAATCCCTGCCTTCCGCAACCCAAAATTTTTGTTTTTTTGTGGTCGTTGTATAGTCAGAAGCATTGTCGACTCAGTACATTTTGGAATCGAAAAATTGTCTTTAAACTTTAAAAAAATCACATTAGCAACAACTGTGCATCGCTTCACATTTTCTCTCAAATCAACCTTTTCATGAGAACAAGTGCAGAAATGCCCCTATTTCTTCGGCCTAGTACGTCCAGTTGAGATGAAAACTTTTGTGATATCTGCTTTAGATGGGTATCTTTTTGTCTTTGAAAAAATATCGTTCTTCTGATTTTTGGTAGCTTAATTCAACAAACTTGGACTTTTCAGAGTACCCGCGACATTTTGATAGGACAGAAAATACACAGATATTCATCTCAAAGAGTGCCTAGTACCTGCAAAAAATGTTCAGCTCTATCGAGCATACCATCTCGAAGAAACTAGGTGTCATTGTGATCTTGGTCATACTTGAAGGCGGTCGAGTTTTTTTAATCGAGCCGGGCTGGATCGACTGATTCGCTTCCAAGTATAATCCCCATATTTCATAGAACACAGCATCTAGGATGATAACTTTTGCTCTACTCGTCAACATGTACCTGCCTTAACAACTTAAAATCTAACTATTGAGCCATTCTCCAAAAACTTTGAAAAGGAAGCATACCGTTAATTATTATTTATAATTTTTATTTTTATTTTATAGAGACATACTAAAATTATTTCAGCCTGTGATTAACAATTCAATGCAGTGAAACTGACATATTTTCTTTTTTTTTTTCTATGTACAAACTTTTCATGGTAAATCTCGCATTTGCTAGTATTTCTCTAGTTTTCGGTGAATAGACACCGACCGTGTTCTTTCTATATAGTTTTTTTTGTTGTTATATTCATACGTATGAAAGAAAACAAAAAAAAAAGCAAATTGACAATATGTTCTATGTTAATTCTCTCTTTTTTCCTCAAGATAAAATAAAAATGAAGTGTTTACGTTTATTAATTTATTTATGATAATGCCTACAGATCAAAATTAGGATTCAATGATCAAACATACTTGATCATAAATGAAAGAATATGTTTTTATTGTTCCATAGAGATATGTTAGACTAAGAGTATGATGATGAATTATTTAAATAATAGTTCTTTGTGTTTTGATAAAGAAAACAAATTAATGTCGACAAAACGCCAAAATAGTTTTCTCTTAAGGTTAATCAAGTTTTCATGACCATGTAAAAGAAAAATATTTTCTTGGTATTTTTATTCGAAAGGATACTTCAGATTATATCCCTTAAAAATGGAAGACATGTATATACGTTCGGTTTCGAATCAACTCGTTATTAATTTGTACATACCTTTTATAATGCTGTTTATGATTTGCAAAAGCACAAAGACGTCCAATCTCTTACATAGCCCATCTATATAGTAAACGTATGAGTGTAGCTGAAGAGAAAACTTATGCTCACTCACCCCTTCAAGATTCTCGTACTCTGATCTACTTTTAACCGTTGTTCGATATCTATATAAATACATATATTCTTTTAGGGTTTCAAAAATGTCCTTTGTTTTCTTAAAAGTAATCTCGCCCTCAGGAGATCAAACATTTAAAACTAGTATTATCAAATATTTAATATTTACAATCTATGAAAGCAATAAAATTCATGAGCTAAAATGGAAAATAATGCTTATAGATAGAATAGTTCATAAGTAGCTTTACGATAAAAATTTTGAATACCTCAACTCTGTTCTATTCTATAGGATCGAACCGGAACCGCTGCTGATCGACATTCAGCAGATACTTTAACGGTCATAGAACGATTTTCAAACTTTTATTTTTTATGATAAAGTATACTATTTAGTTGTTTTCATAAACAGCGAAAAAAAAAGAAATCAATTCAAATTACATAAAAATGCAACTGATTCAAAATTCGCCTGATGCCTTTCTGCTTCTAAAATTTGATCAATTTCATTAAGTATAAGTTTCTAGTTTTTAATGACGCTGATATAGAATGCAATGTTGGTGTCAAACTTCATAATTGTGAATACATGCATGGATACTTGTTTCATCACGATAATACAAGTCCACCTTTGTTATAATTCATTTTTCTCTTCATGTATTCAGTTACTTTATCATCATCTGTAGATGAATTTTCATTAAAAATGAATTCTTTTAGTCAAACAATATTACTTGCGACCTCTATGACCCATTATCAAGTACAATAAATTACTCAATCCACGATCGAAGCGGCTTTCACTCTTATGCTTTTATATAAATTAGCATTTAAAAAAGGAAAACTATTTTGAAATAGTGAGATCTCATTCATTTTGTGTATTGGGTGCCGAATACTCTATCTGGTTGCATGACCCTACTTACAGATTATAACATACGTCTACAATTTCGAAATATATTTTTTAGAGATTTCGAACTGAGCATCAGCAAGCATAGCAAAATTAACTATCGTTTTTACTTCATTGCAGTTCAGAAAAGACAAATATCTATATCGACGTTTAGAGAGAAAAAAAAACAACCACGCATTGCATAACAAGCCATGAAGGACGAATGTAAGCGCACACATGGATCTGTTAGAGCCATGTCTAACGATACAAAAGATAGAAATTCGCTATTGAAGCCAATGATGATACTTCCAAGCAATATTTATAAAGTGTTGTTTTTATGAAAAAATAAATGCTGAAACCTCCTTTATCACGTAAAAAATCTAGCCTCATAAAGTGAAACAGAGCGAAGATATTCAAATTTTCTATCATAAAGCCACTTATGGTCCACTTGGTATAGTTGATTTTGAGATATTCTCTTTTTATTGACAGCCATGTTTAATAAAACTTTACTCTCTTTTGTAACAAAACGACTCGATTTGATCCTTGATGAGACACATAACCTATGAAATCATCATCTCTACACAAAAAGAAACATCATCTTAATGTTGGAGTCATGAAATATCAATTCTAAAAATTCAGTGCTTACATGTTAAGTGTTTGTTGATCTTATCTAAAGAAAATAAAACGGAAATTTGACAAGATGTATGAATATGAATTTTGATAGATTCAATGGTCTACAGTTAATGATTGCAGTTCTAATGTTTTATAACAGTACCATAAAGATAAAAATGCGATGATCAAATATTCAAACTTGACTATACAATAATATGTTTGATACAATGAATCACAATAAGTACTTATTTCAATGATTTATTTGTCACTTATCATAAGTCACTAGTTACATAAATAATCATTTTAAAACAACAAAAATTTCCTAAACACTGTTTATAGACTGAAAATCTTCATACTTCGTGTGTTCATATCTGATTTTAAGTCGTTTATTTAATTGACACTTTAAATGGTACCATGATCAATGACTTATCACAATTTTCAAGTTAACTAATATCCTCGTCAGAATAAAAGAAGAGTAGGTGTTATCTTAATAATTTGACAACAACAACAGTTAGCGATCTGCGGTTTCAAGCAATTGGAAAAGAAGAACTCCGAACGTCTTTTTGTCTACTACTGTATAAGATATATTACTTTTAAAACCCATCATCGTTGCAAAAAAAATCCAAGGAAAAATGAAATGAAAACAATGTTGTGTTTCGATTTAATTTTGATTTTGGCATGTTGCTTCAGATAGAGAGATTTCACATCTACGGTTCAAGTTACGATTCAGATGTTTATCTTCTCATACGTCAATAATGGGCAAAAAAAAATCGCATATCGATTCAGTCAAATTATATAAAACTCTTTTGATTTTTAGCAAATTTACTGACATTTTATCGAAATTTTCTTGAAATGAAATATTGTTTTCATGCATTTTTATAAATGTTTTGAGAAGATGATGAGTTTTAGAACAATTTTATTTTATATAGTATCACACAAAAAGATGTTCAGAGTACTCTCCTTTGAATTTCTGAACAGCACTGATCGATAATTGTCGCCATGGTCGAATTATTAAGCTTACGCCCACTCGTTTTTCATTCTTACACAGACATTTTTTATTGGTTTCTATTAACGAGTGTTTGGAAAGCTTTTAGACAAGATGCTTGTTCACTTGTGACCTGCTAGAAAGTATCAAAAGCTATATGTTATGATGCTCTTTTCGAATATCAGCTTAGAAATTTATTTCAGCAATTGGGAAAAAGTAGACGTGTGGTGTCTTGTTGAAAGATAAAAAAAAGTTTAAATTCTGAATTTTGTAGGATAGCTTCTGATCTACCAGCTGATGCATAAATAAAGATTCCAGCTTTTAGTTTCGAATTGACATAGTGAAAATATAGACATTTTCCATAAAAAGAAAAGTTTTTTGACTTTTCAAAAATTACTTCACAACTTTCGAACAAAAACTGAAACAAAATTTCTGATGAGGGGTTTACTTGAACTCCTACCCGCCCTTTGGCTCATATTTGGTTTACAAGAAGATCTCGGTAACCCTAAAGAAATATTAAACTGGTTCGTGTCCATGAGCCTCTGGAGCTAGAGTTATAACCATTTTACTGAATTTTCGATGCAGCTTTAGGTATTTACCGAAAAATGAAATAACAGAATTTTGATCTGAAGTTTTGCATAGAGACAGTTCTAGTGATTCTGGGAATATCTGGAAAGTTTAAGCTGAAAAGAATGTTTCTTTGTCGAAATATTAAATTATCCAGTAAAGTCCATTTTTGTGGTGAACGATCATTTTTTTTGGAAATTCTACATCTCGACAAAGGGACGTTCTTTTTGGCTGAAGCTTGCATAACACTTTCATAGTCACTAGGCCTATCTATGGGCAAAATTTGAGATTGAAATCTTTTCATTTGATTTTTTGGTAAATACCTAAAGCTGCATCGAAAATTCAGTAAAACGGTCGTAACTCATCTCCATAGGACCATGGGCACAAATCCTTTTAAGATTTTTCTCATCTTACAGAGTCCTCACTATGAACCAAACATGATCTCAGACGATAGGTATCAGTTTGCGTAGTTTCTGTGTCAGTCTATATTCGAAAAGAACACAAAATCATAGATTTTGATTTGTCAATAATATTTTCTAATGGATCCACAGTAAACAAACATTTTGCCTAAAAACTTTCCCATCAACCATTATTCTTAAAAATACACAAAAGACTTAATCATGAAATCCATTCTTCAAATATTCATTTATAAATTTATCAATTCGTGAAATCATATTTTTATTTTTAATTGTACATTGTCAATTTATTTGTTAGATAAGAAAAAGAAAAGAAATATAAACTAAAGTCAATTCAATTTATAAAAAATCTGTTAGTTTTAAAAGCATATCAATATTGTCTTTCACTTAGAAACCAAAACAAGCATATACGTATATATATATATCAATAACAAATATTCATATGTTTATATTATACATCAGATTCTTCATGAAGTTTTCGATACCATAAATCATCAAGTACTTCAGCAACAATAAGTGTATTCGCATTAGCTCCTATAATCAATAAAGCGAATACATTATCAGCAGGAAAATATCGAAGAAAATGTCGAAATTTTTGTTCATCTGATATGCGATTTTTAATAATTAAATCTAAATGTCGAGTAATAAAAACATTACGTGAATGTCGCATAAATATTACATAAATTAAGCGTATGATATCAATTATTGTTATTATTAATAATATCCAAAACCATAACCAAAGAATAAAATACATTTTTTCAATAAATATATTTATAACAAGTATACATTCAACTGTATAATAATGACGTTCACCTAATTCACGTATATGAAAATCACATAATGTTATACGTGGAAATAATTTACTCTCTGGTAATGAAAAACCAGAAAATAATGCTCCTATTATATTAAAACCATATTGTAAAAAGTTTGCATCATAATAACTAAGAAAATATTGTAGAAACAGTATTTGTAAGATTAAATTAACTAAATAAAGAAATTTAATAAAAAAGTAATAGCAAACAAGTGATGAGCCTGTGCGAGCTTGACAAAATAAACGGCACTGATGAGTCACACGTTGAATGCCAGATCCATTTTCATGTTTTAGAGGATCGACATATTCTTGATAGCGTTGTAGACAGTAAGATATATATCGCACAACTAATCATATCAATAACAGATCAGTATTCATCATAATATATGTAATATAATACGTACCTTTGTTACGATCGTTATCACTGTCAAATGATTCATATTTATTTGCTGCATCAACAAGGTTTTCAAGTGGTAAACCAATTTTATCATTAAATGATCGCCAGATAATACGTGGTAAACTAAAAAACAAAGCTTGCAACAAAAGAACAAAATTAATCCATTGATAATATTTAAGTGTTCGTTCGCGTCGTGAATTATAATCTTGTGGAATTGATTGATGTTTTGGTACGTGATATGTATTTTGTATATAACATAGTCGATTGGTAAAAGTTTCATAAGCGCCAGTAAATTGAGCAGGAACCCAACACTCTAATGGATCACCTAAATATAATAAATGAATCAGGTCTATAATTTTTCCATTTCTCATATTTGTTTACATCTTACCCATATATTGATATGATGAAATAGCAATACAAAAGCATACTAATATAGCAACTGTATATCGATTGTGAAGTCGATCAACAAGTAAATCATCATAATTATTTTCATCTCTTTTTCCTCCAGCAAATCTTTTGGCACTGTCAATGACTGCAGTAAAGTCCATCGATAAAAATCAATATTACTCTTTTCATTCAGATGTCATATCGTTGATCTGAAAGAAATAACGGATGCCATTTCATTAGTAGGCATGTACAGATACACACACACGTATATATATACATATACAAGAAAAACAAAAGAACGAGTTTCGTTAAAAAAAAAGGTTATCCTATATACACAGCTTGTCGCCATCATCATTCTATGATGTAATCGGAATGGCAGCTAGATCAGACAACGACACAGCTGTTTATACTATTTGAAGACCGATCATAAAATTCTATGAATATTACTTATATTGTTATTAATCAAAATGAAAAGAGTTAAAAAAAACACTTGACGCTTCAATTGTAAAAAAAAAACATTTTTTATTTTATTGTAACATAAGAAAAAAGTTATTGATGTACTTACGAAGAACAGTCATAACCACATTATAGAGCATCGTTCGTTTTTTTCTAGTTACCTGTGAAAAAGAAATATTTGAAAAGAAAGAGAAAAAAATAGATGAATGGTACAGAATAAATAAAAGAGATGTGATCCAATACCTTGGCGTACGAACGTTAAGCACAGAAATCAAGTAAAATGGTCACGCATTCAATTGCATACAAAGAAAACGAAAAGAAAAAAAAAAACATCAATATACAGAAAAAAGAAAAGAACGCAAAAGAACAGAATTCAGTAAGAATGAATCTAATATTAGACTGATTTTACTTGTTCGCATACAATACAAGAACTAAATCTATTGATTTTATGCATTCATCAGTTTTGCTGCTAGGAATAATTAGGGAGAAACAAAATAAAAAGGGCGTGGACTTTTTATCTCGAACCAATTATCGCTAAGAAAACAAGGCGATGGTTGAGTTTTGGAAGGTCAATAAGTGAAAAAGACGATGATATAATCTTTACAAATCTATTTATCATGCAAAAAAAGACTACCAAATATATTTCAATAGGAATAGATCGATTGATTAAATTTGTATTTATATTAAACTAACAGTTTTTACAAAAAACTGATTTTTTCGTCAAGGCTTAAAGCAAGAAAAAAAATGCAAGGGCAATTTATCACTTTATCATATCATGAGATATAATCTCTTAACAAATTGCGTTGATGTATATAATAAACAAATGATAAATAGTTTTTTTTTTTGAAAGGTCATAGAAGCTTAACTAATCAAAGAGTATAACGACTGATTTATATCTCTATGTACCATCTTGAATATGTGATGTTATTTCTGGTGAATAAGATGACTTCTCAATGTTACAAAAGTATTCATCGTATGACATCGAACATTATTCAAATTGCAGAAAATGAAATTTCTTGAATTCTTCGTTGCATATATAAGTCATTTCAGGTAAGAATGGGATACATTGGCCTTTCATTTTTTTTTGCAACGATTATTTTTTTGAATAAATTCTTTTAGCATAAATATATGTAAAAATGTTGCTCCTTTCAGTTAACTATTAATTAAAAAGTAATTAACGAATATCTCTCTAACCATATGAGAAAAAAATTCGAACATTTCAGCATAGATTTTTACGGCATGAACCACATCTATAATGAAATTTTCAGTAGGATCGAATTCCAAAAAAAAATTTTGTCTTAAAAATCGGTTTTCTAGAAATTTTGAATAAAGATCTCTATCGTTTAGAATTGATTTTGAACTTCTTATTCGGTTATAAAAATATTGTTTTTTCGTTTTTAAATTCGCACTCGGTCACATGGCGGCTAACAAACAATAATTCGATTTTTTTGAAAACTCTAGGCATGCTGAGAAAAAACTTTTGAATATAGGTTTTGTAGCCTCAGAAGGTGTCTGAAAAATGCACTAGGGAGTTTTTAAGCATACTGCCTAGATTCGAAGGTTCTTGTCAACTAAAATATATGAAGTGAAAGTTGATATCGTTTTTTTTTGTGTCATATCGCTAAAGCTGGTTTTTTACTAATAATTCCTGTGAACAATGGGTTATAGGGCTGAGTTTTTTATGATATATAGAGTAACTTAACATACATGTAACCTATAAAAATCAGCTCTAGAAATGCTCATCATCCTGAAACACACTTATTTTAATTTTGCAAAGTCACGTTGCTAACGAATGATATTATTTGCATACTTAAAAATTTATGTATTAATAAACTTTCTACACTAGATGCTGTGTGTTCACTTTTTATTTCTTACAACACTTATTACAACAAAAATATGATGAATCATGCTTTGAGGAGAGTGCGTGGGTCAAAAACTTTGACATAATATGGATGTTGACTTGTGGTTGCTTTGAGAGTGTTTTCGTTTAGTCCAATGCTATAAGTCTAGACATTTTATTTCAGTTTTTGCTCGACATTATTGAAATGATCTTTGAAAGACTCATAACTAAGTACTTTGTACAGAAAATGCTTTGCACATTTTTTTGTATTGTTTCACTATTGCAACTCGAAAGCAAAAGTTTGAATCTTTATAATTATATCAGCTTGTAGAGCAGAAACTACCCGGCAAAATGTACTACTTGAGTTTTGTTTTTATCTTTCGCCATGACATTTCAATTTTCATTTTTTTTAAACTCTCATTTTTGAAAAAAATCGATATTTCGATTGAAAAAAAAGTTTTGCATAGAAAGAAGCTCTTGATAAAATAACTACAACTTAGTTCAATAAAACATTTTGTAAAGAATCGTTTACTTGACAAAACGACCAACTATGATAATTTTTAATACCTTCAAAAAGGGACTTATTGGGATTAACATAAGCCTGTTGATTTATCGTTCAATTGGATTTTTAGAACATTTCAAAGATTTCCTCACTACTCTTCAATTCGAATTTCGAATTCAAAACTTTGAATAGAGATAAGCCTCAATAAGAATAGTGTTTTTTGAATGTTTCAGATCTTCTCATTTGCTTCTATTCTGAGATAAGAGCATCAAATCTGTCAGATAATTTGAGCATTCTAAGAAACACACTATTACCATCATTGTATCTTACAACAGGAAGAGCGACAAGATTTGAAACATTTGCAAGAAACTCTTCTTATTAAGGCATGTCTCTATCTATGTCAAGATTCACGTCGAAAACATAGACTCGACTCAAAAGAGAATAGGAGACTTCTCTCGTAAGTCCGCATTCCGAAACTACACTAAATTCTTGTCCTAACCTATAGCTTTTGACTCATCGGAAACATTTTCAAGAAAGCCGAAAAACAAACAAAGATTTATTCTCAAGACTTTCGACTTACCCTTTATTGAATAATGTTCTTTAAAAATAGTGCAAAACTTATTAATCACTTTTATTATTAGTAACAGAATATTTATTATTTCGAAAAATGATTATGAACAGCGTCATGTATTAAAGATAAATCGAGTGTTTATTTCATATGATTATATTATTTATCTATGCAATTCATCACGATCGTTATCATTTTTCTCAGTGAGAAAAAAAATATGGCTTCTATCAATTCCCGTTTGATTTATTGCAATAATGACATATCATATTCTGTTAGCCCATGTAGTTATATTGACATGAATCATAATACTGTTCATTTTAAATAAGGACTTTTCTTTCATGATTTTTCAAAAAGACAAATCCGACTGTGCCTTTTATGAATCACGACCTAAAAGGAGTGTTGAAGTGTGTAGGGTAGAAATTTTGCACCCTCCCCTCCCCCCTCCCCCCAACGAAGGATTTCCATTCAATTAGTAATAGTAGAGCCATCGTGTTTCACATTTTTAATCCCGCAAGGGATTGCGCTAACAGCTTTTATAACGATATATATATAATCTATTTTTAGGGTAAATTTTGATGATCCAGGTATAATATGAATATGAAATGATGTAATGAGTGAAAATAAATGTAAATTTGGATTTAGTTTTCTAACTCATAAATCTTTCAATCACTGTATGTAAAATAGAAAATGTATGATCTATAATAGAGTTAAGATTCAAATTTGATTTAAAATACGTAGTTTGATCAAAAGTTTGAAATCGTATTTCATTAACATTACAAATATTCTTCATTAGTTGTCAATGGTATTTATTTTATGTGGATAGTTCATTCAGTTCAATTTTTATACTATCTATCGTACTAAATGCTTTTCATTTAAATTTAAATTACTATTTATTCGGTAATTAAATATCTACGATATTAAATCCCATTCAATATTATTATTATCTTAAGAAATTACGCTGAAATAGAATTGTCATAGAATAATATTTAGTAATTAAAAGATATTTCTAGCTATGGTTATGGGTATTATTGATTCACTGTCTTTAAAAAAAAAGAAGAGCGCTGTTTAAATGCAGAGAATCATGGTAATACAATGTGACGTGCATTCATCAACGAAGACTAATCGGATAGATACTTCTGATATAAATATAACGAAGATCCTTTTAACCTTGAACAAGTACGCAAAGATCACAATATGTTGTCTGTTGAATAAGTAACTTCAATATATTGGATTTTTCTAGTGAATTTTTTTTGAGCTCCCAAGGATTCAAAAGGTTATTGAAATTTGATTGCTATATTCAGCTAACACTAAAAATTTAATTAAATGTGTAAATAGTATATCTACATAATGAATTAATATTAGAAAATTGAATATAATTTTATTGAATTGAATATGAATCAAAAACTAAATTTTCTAAATAAAAATGTGAGATATGTTGCTTCAATAAAAACAAATAGAAAAGATTATTTTTTTATTAATAATTTAATAGAATTCATTGATTCGATGAGTAATTTCAAGAGGGAACAAACTGATTTCTATGCCAAAAATCATTTTAACGCCTTTAGAATACGAATAATGATCGGAAGTAGTTCACAATCATCGGAAACCATCATAAGTCATTAGATATCAATGGAAATTACTCTAAATCATAGAAAACATCCTGTAATAAAATTGAAAGACCTGATTTCTATTGATTTACGATAAACAGATAAAAACTGATATCCACCGATAGAAATCAGTTTTTTCCTTCTTCAGTAATTTGCAAATCATTAACTTGTCATGAAAATTCAACATATTTTATCATATTTTAAATTATTAATCTAATTCAATCAATAATTCTTTTAATTTTATTCATTTTTTTTTCATCATGAAAAAATGTGATTAAGACATTGTAAGAACTACATTATGCTTATCAGTATTTCATTTCCTCAATTCTATGACATTCTTCTTCATCGAACATGATCGTATGATTGCAACAAAAGTGACTAATTCAATAATAATAAAATACTTTTTTTCATTATGAAAGTAAAAAAAGTAAAATACTAATTCTTCTAAACTGTTTTTTACAATTTCTCATTTGTAAATTTTGTTTTTGCAATAGTCGATTATTGTTCTCTTATATTTTTGTATATCTTAAAAAGAAAAATACTGTAACTACTGCTCTCCATGTCCCATTGTTTACTGTTATTCCACCATAAAAAGAAACAAAGTGCAAAAACAAAAGGAAATGAAATGAAAAAAAAAACAAATATATAGAGATAAACATCCACAGGCACGATGATACATACACACATAAACATGAAAGAAGAAATTCAGCGTTTATGTTCATTAATTCAATAACAAATAAAAAAAAAAACAGAGATATTATGTTAAAATACATGTATGAAGATTATGCATTACTATGCATATGAGAAGTGAAAAAGGAATTGTTCTGGAAAATGATTGTGATCCTGAGTTCACTTTAAATATTAAATTTATCTCTTTTCACTCATTCATACATTTTATTCGTTTTGTCGATATTATTATTTTCTTATACGCTAGTCATCAGCAGTTATATTTAAACAAAGAAAAAATAAAATAAAATAAAGAACAAAGTATAGAATAATTTCCTAGATTATTTTTTTTTGTCGCCGTTTTCTTCGTTTTTTTTCTTATATGGATATCATTCATCACAGATACGCACCGTCAGAAAAAAAATTAGTCTTTGTTCATATATATGAGTAAAGGAAAAAAAACAGAATCATATACTAAAGCTTTCACTTGTTTTCGTTCAGCCATGTCCATATATACAGAATGCGATTGTTTAACTCTGCCATTTAATATGTCCATAAGCTTGAAGTCCAGATAATGTTAGATATCCAATCCAAAGAAGAATAAAAAAGATTGAACATAAATATTTTGGTATTGCTGGTCCACCTAAAAAAGAATATTTTCAATATCAAATAAATAATAAATGAAAATCTCCAACCTAGTTCTGCCTTGCCAAATACACCTAAATATCGACGAAGAATAAGTACAGACATAGAAAGTACACAACAAACAGAAAAGACTAATACACTAAATGATAGATCGCCAGCTTTGACCGTAAACGGAAGATTCTAAAATATTAAAAAAAAATAAATCAGGAAATTAATTCACATATATTTCTCAAGAGACGAATGCATCTCCCTTTCTTAATTATCGTATATTTAAATGTAAACATCGTACCTTTGACTCCCAATAGGTAGCAGCAATAAGCCATGGAAGTCCAAGACCAAGAAATACATTAACACTATTTGATCCAGTTACATTACCAATAGCATCATCAGCAGTTTTAGAATTTTTTGCAGCAATCATTGATGCAAATGTATCAGGTAATGATGTTCCAAGTGCAACAAATGATATAGCTGTTATACTATCTTTTAATTCAACTAGACAACCAAATATAGCAGCTACATCACCAACAACAGCTGTTAGAAGAGCAATGAATAGAAGTGACACAAAAAATGTTAACCAACCACCAGCTATTGCTGTAGGCGGTACAAAAGCGAAAAGCACCTATTAACAAAAAAAAAGAAACAATAAATTTTCCTTGTTTTTTTTGTTTTGGTGAAAATTACCTTCCAAAAAAATGCAAGTGCATGACCAATATAATGACCCATTTTAGCTGTTTCTAAATCACCTCCATTGACATTCAAAGCATCACGAAATTGTTGACCCCATGATGTTTTTGTTACACTTAATTTATCCATATCAACTTGAACAAGTGATGCCATTCGATTTGCCATTGTTTTATAATCTAAATGAAAAAAGTTGTTTTGTTTTTAAAATTATCATTATCATTCAAATAATTAATTTTAGCATAAAAGATAAAAAATTACCATCATCATTTATAATTGTAACAACAGTTTTTGTATGCTTGCCTAATTGTGCACCACCCGTTGGATCATACAATTCAACAGCAAAACTTTCATCTTTTTCTGCTTCAAGATCATTCATAATTGGTATAGCAATTATTTTTGATATTTCACCATGTTCAAATATAATTTCACTTTGTGCAGCTATAAAACAAAAATATTCAATAACAAAAATCATCTATAATAACACATTAGTTGCAAAGGATCGATTCGATTCGGTTGCAAAAAAATACGAACCGATCCCATCTCTGCCCTGTACCCTGAATGGGAAAAATTTTCTAAGCACGATCCTACTCTGCACATCTCTATTTCCATCATTCAAAAAAATAGTGACAAATAATCTTCATATGTATACTATTGATTACTTACGTTCATAATCTCTTGTTGCGACAGCATCAATATCTTTTGTTCGATAATGTACACTGACACGTCCATCGGCACCATTGACACGAAGGAGTTTGATTTCTACTTTACCAACACTTTCTTTAACTAATGTAATTGATTCTTCAAATCCAATAAAACCCGGTTCTATGAAATAAACATGAATATATAATTATTCTATCTCTTTTTTTTCTGTCTATTGATATTATTTACCATCATCATTGATAATTGTTACGAGTGCAATTGTTTTTGAACCTAATTTTGCACGAGATTCTTCACCTTCAGGTAATGATAATTTAACAAAAAATGTTTCATCTGGTTCCCATTGATTATCATCAATAACATGTATTGTAATTCGTTTTTCTTGTTGACCACGCTCCATTTTAAATTCTTCAGATAATTTAACGTAATCTTCACCAGCTGTTGCCGTACCATCAATTGTATCAAGTCTATAAATAAATTATTTTAAGAAAAAATTTATCCAGAAAATACTCTCTATTCATGAAATGTGAAATAGATTTCGTCTGTAATATAAAGTGTGCAAAAGGAAAGCTACAAGCAGGCAAACACAAAGCAATAAAAGCATATCGTGCAAAATATTTTTTTTATTTTTAATCTTATTGAAAAAATATTGAATTTTATATCAATATCCAACAAAAAGGAAGGTCAAACAGTTTGGTGTTTGGTTACACTTAGTGATAAATGAAACTAGCAGGTATTCTAGTTAGTGAAAATAATAAATGCACGAAAGAAAAAAAAACAGACAAGTTTGTGGATTATATTCGGGACCTACCGAAAATGAATAACGGAATTCGTTAAACCGTATCTGACAACTTCGATAGTTACACGCTGTTCACGTTCAAGTACAGCATAACTGGATGAAGCAAACTCAAGTACAGCCATACGTGGATCATCATTTATTTCTATCTTTGATAATGTTGCCTTTCGACCACCAAATGGATGGTCAGCCGAAAAACACCCATCAAACGGCTGTGGTTTGACAGCTCGTTCGTAAATCTAAACGAATCAGGGTAATTTTCTATTTTATCCTCAAACATAAAAAAAAGAACAAATCATAACAGATTAACTTATATGTATGTTGCAAAAGATTAGAAATTAGAAGAATTAGTATAGATTTATGTACGAAAATAATTTGTTATTTAGCGTTGCGTTATATGTATATATGTTATAGCACACGCATGCACGAATGATTAAACAAGCTATTGAAAAAGATAAACACCTGAATCGAACATCGACATCAGTCGGACCCCTTCGTTTGATTTTAAGAACAACTCTTTGTTCATTTTCAAGTACAGCATATGCTGTCGTAGAAAATTCAATTAATGGTTGCTGTTCATCAAAATCAATATTATCCTCTTCTTCAATTGTTTTTGGCATCAATGATGTTCGACGATCACCCATTGAATCACGTTTATTTACTTCCGTATAGATCTGTTTAGATATTCATATATATAATAGAAAACAAATATCTCATTTCATTCAATTAAATTAGAAATAAAAATAATTTTTTTCCATTCTTAATTAACATTTTTACAAACCTCTTGAAGTTTGTCAGGCAAATTAAGAAATAAAGATTTGCCACCGGTGAGCATTCGAGCACCTTGAATTCGATATTGCATACGTGATCGGTGCATACTTTCACTTAATTTGGCTGCAAATAATTGTGCTTTATCTTCTAATGATAAATTTGTTGTTTGACCAAGATCCTATATATTAAAAACAATGAAGTAAACTTCTAATCGATTTGTTTTGCTCTAAGATTAATTAAAACATACACGTAAAAATTGAAGAAGTTCATCTTTACGAAAACTACGTGGGCTGCCAGTTTCATCATGGTCCGGTGGTGCTAAAGGCAAAATAAAAATAACATACAGAATATCTATCATGCATACAATCAATCTTCCGAAAATATTGACAAAAAAAAATTGCGACTTACTTAATATAAGTGTTTGTTCCTCTTCTTCCAAGTCAAATTTTTTTGAAGCATAGAAATTTTTTTCAGCCTAATTAAGCATAAAGAACATTTAGTTTTTTATTTAAGACGTTCATCTTACTAGAAAAGCTATGATGACAACCAATGGAAACATGAGAAATGTAATGACAGCTTCCCAAAGATCAACAACATCTTTTGATATAATCGATAAGACAATGAACATCCATATGTAGGCAAAAAATCCAAAGAATGATGTAACCTATGTTAATATTCAATTCTATTTAGGAATATTTAGAAAATTAAGTTACCATAAAAACACTATATAATTTTATTCTTTTTGTTTCAGAAGTCTTAATTGCCGAAATACATAATGCACAAATCATTAATAAATTATAAGCAGCTGAACCAACAACTAAAATAGTAAATCATAATCTAATCAAAAGATCTCTGATCTTTTGTTTTTTTTTCAGATGGTTTTTTTTTTAAATACGAATAGTTTCCTTAGAAAAACATGTGCTTTGAAGAGAGTAGTCAAATGGCAAATTAGAATACCATGACCTTATCGTGCATTAATCCATACAAATAAAAACATAGGGTATTTTGTTTTGACATTATTTTCCGAGAAAAAAAAACAAGAATTGTCTTACTTTAATTCATAGACAATTTTCTATAATTATTGTTTAACTTAAATACAATATTTAGATAGATTCTTACTAGTTCCAGGACCAAGTTCTCCAGCTTCAAAACGATTACCAATTATTTCTATAATTGATAAAAGAATTTCAGGTGAACTTGAACCAAGGGCCATTAATGTCAAATTTGCAACTGTATCATTCCATATTCGAACTTCAACAGTTAAATATTTATCCTTTTCTCCTGGATCTGGATAACGTATTTTTCGTCTTCTTGATGTTATAGTTTCAATTGAAGACATAAATATATCGGCAATAATAGCAATACCAAGAAAAAGATAAAGTAAAAAAATAAAATATAATACTGCTCGTACTCGTATTGACATGCATGCTTCAATACCTGGTAATTATGTAGAAAAAAAAAGAACAAAAATGTATACATTTATATTTAATAAATAAAATATTTACCAAACGGCAATAGAAGACCGCGAGCTGAACATTTAAATTTTTGACAGCTAATAGTAGTAAAATTGCTAAATTCGTCCGACATTTTGTTTGAGTGTATAGGTATGCGTGTAAATTCACTTGTGTGCAATATTCACATGCCAGTTATGCAGAGAGGACATACTAAAACCACACCAAGGTCGTTAGACTGCTTTTTTTCTCTCTCTCTCTCTTTCTCTTCTTCTATTCTGTGAAAATTTGTGTATTCACTCTAGAGAAAAAAATACGAATCATAATACCAGCTATTCTTTTTCTTTCCTGCTCTCTTTCTCTCTCTCTCTCTCTCTCTCTCTCATTCTTTTTTTCTCCAAATCGGAGGTGATTACTAAAAAAATGTTATGTTGGAAACCAGATTTCTTCTATCTAGAATAGCTTTCGTGTTCAGGCATGATTAGCCATGAACAATCTTCTTTTCTTTTTCTTTTTGGATTTTTTATAGTATCATGTTTCTCATTCTACTGCTATCTGCTCCAGAGTAATAAAAGGAAAAATAATTTGAATATAGTGAAATCACATAGAATACATAATGATTCAAAGAAACAAACTTATAGTCAGTGACGCAAGAGGGTGTGGAGCTTTGCTGACGTTCGATATTACACTTCACATTTATACCTTCGTATCATCGTCGACAATGACAACCAAGACTCCTCGTTTTCTTCTCTTTTTTTTTTTTATACCTGTGCCTTTGCGTAAATATATATATGAGTAAGCTTTTTCCGTTTTACTCATCTCTCTCTCTTTCGTTATTTCAAAAGGTCTATCGGGAAGCGAGATTCACCGGCAAACGGAAGAATCATTATACAAGATTTTATTGTATTAGTCACAGTGATTGAAAACGAGTGATACTCACTCATAACAGTTTGCATATTCAAAAATATTTTTTTTTCTGAATAAAGAAAACAAACCCGATTATCAAATTAAAAACCCAATTATTAATTTTCAACGTTTTTTACCGGTAAATAACAACCGATAAATTATAGAAACTACATGAACATGATTGGCTATTTTATTTTTAAATCATTACAATAACAGACTTCTAAAATTCATTCACTTTAATTACTCAAGGAAAAATTTTCATATTCTTTAATATCTGTTTTATTTTTTGCTTCTCATATTCAAAGATGAAGAGAACTATGAAAAACATATGCACTTAAATATGATAACTATTATCATTTCATATTCCATGATAAATTTATAAATTAATATGAGTAATTAGATTTTGATTGATTACAATTCTACTACCAAGAATCGACTTCGACATTTGAAAAAAAGCACTGGGTGTAGAGAAAATTTTCTCATCATGTTGAAAATGAATTACAAACCTGTGAAGGAAAATGAACACGCAAGATTTATTGAATAAATTGATATGCTACAATGTACAAGCGATCACAATAGTGCTAGTCATCCTCTGAACAACAGTACTAGTAGAGACTGCGTGTGCGCGAGAAGTGAATAATTAAGCATGAATTATAGATGAAACGAGCATACATGCCAAAATAGTCTTTTCTCTCTTTTTTTTCTTCTTCTCTTTCTCGACAGCACAGACACCCTGGCAATAACGAGCAGCGCATGTGGTACGAGTTTCTCCCATTCACCAGCGCTCTATTCTCGACTATTTACTTTCTATACGCATGGGGACATGAAGTAAGGCAAGCGCATGATGAAGTAAAGTAAAGTAAAAGAAGAAGAAGAAGAAGAAGAAGAAGAAAAAAGTGTATACTTCTGGCTGTCATTAGACAGTAACAGCAAGAGAAATGGGAGCAGTAGTAATAACAACACCAGTAATTTGCTATCGGTGTGTGCAAAATTTTTTTTTAAAACACTTATTATATTCCACGCATTCAGGAAAGAAAGGGAAAAAAAGCAACGATAGAAATAAAAAACTGGTTTTTTTTTGTATGCATATCTGTACTATTGTATCAAGTATTCAATGCACATCAGTGGGTCTGTCCTTAGTGTTTGCAATAAACATCCGAATAAAAATAATAGACATCAATTTTTTTTCTTCGCTTATAATTAAATATCGATGCGGGTTATCTAAAACACTATTACATTCTAATTACAGAACCGTTGACACAATAAAATATATAAAAGAAAAGCAAGCAAAATATATATTTACAAATCGATTAATTGTGAAACGATACTTGTATTTGTCGATGAGAAAAGAGTAAAAAAATAAGAAGAAGAATACTTTTCATTTATTTTTCTTTGTTCGAATGTTAATATATAACTCCATTCTTTAGACTCAATGTGGTCATATAATGGTAATGCTTGTATGTAATGTGCTGCATTGACGTCCAAAGCATTCTTCTTCTTTTTTTTTTATTCACTGTTCGTTAGTGTAGAGGAAACAATCGAGAGATACATTAGAAAAGGCGTACTTCGACTGAGCGAGAAAAGCATCATAGTAGCGGTGGTGCAGAACGAGTGCTCACAAAAAAGAGAGAATAAATGAATAAAGTTTCTAGTTTCTTCGTTTTTCTCTCTCTCTCGCTCTGACATTGCAAGATGTTGGTTGGTGGTTGTCTTTCATGTAGTATTACTTGAAATAAAGACATGGTGAGAGACAAACAAAAACAAAAGGATTGCACTTATAAACATGTGCATATATCAAAATTAAGTTTTGAATTCGTATTTCTTACATTTAATCTAAGAAAGTATCAAATAATCTGAAATGAAAGAGTACATGCTCTAATACGTTTTTAAAATTGCTTTCATTGAGTGCGAAAATAGTCCTTATTGTTTGATTGAACATTATACAAAATCAAAGGATGGCACAGCTTATGTTATTATACTATGCTTCAGCATGAAAGATACTGTTGATATTCTGATAATCGAATATCAATAAAATATTTACTTTCACTTAGAAGTAATCAAAGCAAAAGTATACTAATAATAAAATTATTATTCATTTTGTTGGTTTTTTTTTGTTCGCTTTGCATAGCAACATTCAATACCGATCGAACTTTTTTATCGATCAATGGCAGCAGTGTAAATAGTAAGGATCAATTACTAATTGCTTTCATTCATCTAATATAGACTGAATAATCATAAAAAAGGAATCATATCACTTGAATATGATGATGAAGGGGGGATAATTTGTATGACTGGTGTTAGTTCCCATTCATTCGATACTGAAGAGAAGATATAATAAGAAGCATATCTATCATACAATTCAATAGTTAAAACCAATGGATGCATACTACTTCATCTATTATGGGTACTTAACAAATCGAGTGATTTTTCATCCAAACTGCATTTCCTGAAGCAGACGATTTCCGCTTATACGATCGAATGAATGGACGAATGTGTACTTTATTTCCCTGAGGTTAATAATCTTTGTCACAAACAAATATAATTACGATTTAATTGATTTATTTTTTCTTAAGATCATCAAAGCGACAATCTGATGATTTAATTCAAATTATTGTGAAAAGAAAAAATACAATTCTATATTGATAACCAAGAAAGTTCGACCGAAAACAAATAAGGAATATCTAAAAATATGCTGAAGTTTGTTTTTAATCTGTCAAAATAATTTATGATCATAAATAACTAAGTTAATCATTTTTAAACATTATTATACTGATGAAAGCATTGTCAATAAAAGAGTTTATTTATTGACATTATAAAAATCCTTATATGATGATAGTTCCAAATTGAAAATATTTCCATCTATAATGACATTATAGGCATCAGAAAATCAAAATTGCAGATCATAATATGAGAATAAATAATTGCCGTTAATTAAATTAAAAAAATATCATAGTAGATGTCAATGTAAAAAAACATTTTTTCAACTGTTTTATATTTGTCTAAGGTTTTGATAACTAATAATCTATTATTAAATATTTTACAATGAATTTTGTTGACAAGCGATTGCTTAGTTATATATTTAAATTTTGCGATTTGTTGTCAGCAACTGATTTTACATAACAGCATATGCATCACAGGTAATATAATAGACTTTATCAATGATAGTAAATATTTGCCAGTCACTTTTTATATTCAAATAATCCTATGCCGTTATTATTATTCATTCTGTCGACAAAACAGATTAGTCTGTATCTTCGATGATAAAATGAGTATATATAATGACATAGCAGGCAAGTTCACCTAACAGTCATTATCAATTATGAGAGATATATGTTTTGTTCTTTTGATTATTGTTACTACTTCAAAAGTAATTAATGGATTTCTATTTGATAAACAAGGACTTTTTCTTGTACCATCAGTAGCATTTCGAGATCATTCATCAATATCGAATTCATTATCATTTAATTGGATTTTGTATACTCAAGGATGGTACTATGAAGAAAATCCTATTCAAGCGTTATTAATGGAAAAATCATTAGAACTTATTGTTCAAAAAGATTTAGATCGAAATCGTATTAAAATGTTTACTGCTAAAGGTAAAAAAAGAAAAGATATATGTATTGATGGACTTAATCGAGAAATGTGCACTCGAACTGACGACGATGGTCGTATAAAAAATACTTTTACAATGAGTAATCAAGAAATTGAATTATTTCGTCAACCAGGTGGTAATGATGGTAAAGTACTTTTTCAAGTATCAGTACCGTATAGAAATCTTCGAGCTATTGGTGAAATTTATTTATGTGATGATCATGGTATAACATTTATTAGTGATATTGATGATACAATTAAAATAACAAAAGTAACATCATCTACACAAACACTAGTTAATACATTTAGTGGAGAATTTAAAGCTGTTTCGGGTATGGCAGAAATATATCGATATTGGGAAAGAAAATATAATGCAACATTTGCTTATTTAACAGCATCACCAGATCAGCTTTATCCATTTTTAAAAGAATTTTTTGATCATGAACATTTTCCATCAGGTTCTGCACATATGCGACATTTTACATGGCTTGATGCCAATTTTATAGCTTTTTTTATGTCATCAAATTATATAAACTCCAAAACCAAAACCTTACATATGTTTTTACAAAATACATATCATCGTTTATTTGTTTTAATTGGAGATATATTTCAAAAAGATCCCGATATTTATGCAAGTATCTATGCTCAATATCCTAATCGAATAGCACAAATTTTTATTCGAAAATACAAAGATGATAATGAAGGACAACAAAGACTTGAAACTATATTCAAAGATATACCTCGAACGAAATGGGCAACATTTGAAAGTGGTAATGATTTACCTAAAGATATATTTATGTAATTTTATCATGAAAGAATATTTCATTCATCTCTTTTTTAATTTATTTAATGGTCCCTTCTTTTTACTCAATGCATAAAATTGATAAAAAAATGTTAATCTTTCTTTTAATCCTTTCAGCTAATGCAAATATTTGATGAAATAGCTTTAATAATGATTATTTATGTTCTTAAATTTTCTTTTCTTTAATTAAATAATAATCTATGGCAAACCAATGCTAAGTTTTTTCATTAATATTTTGTTGTTTTCTTAAATTCTCAATAGTATTAGAAAAGAATTTTCTTTCAGCATTTCTAACTTACACAATGACATGATTTAAATATTTGCTTAGAATTTATTTAATTATATTGTGCTAAGAAAGAAATTTACCGTCTAAACAAAACTTCTGAAACGTCGATATTTTTAAAGGAGAAAGAGCGGCTATCTTGAGTATTTTGTCTCATTGTAATTAATAATCAAATGCATTCTTATTTTTGTAGAAAACTATTGAATATCCTATAATTGAAGGAATGCATGTATGCATACAGATCTCTTGAGAAGGAAATACTTATTTTGTCGACAAGCAAAATATGATACTATACAACTGCTTTTAGATAATTCAGCGTATCTATCTAATGAATTGTATTTCATTTGAATAGTAATTTTCTTTGTAAGAGGAGTGGAGACTATAGAATAAAGTATTCTTTCGGTTAAGGTCGTCGACCTGTGACTTCCACACAAAGTCTTTTGATGTAGCCATTTTGCAAGTCAGCTGTACTCGGAACATTTTTAATCATATGATTAACTTTTTGCATTGATGGCCATGGATAACATGAAGATAATATTTTATTCATTAGATCACTTTTTTATATTTGATCATATGGCTTCATACAACTTTCTTTCCTCCACAAAATAACTAAAGACACTTGATACCTATCGTATTTTTTTTTCACTTCCACAGTCAGCAAAACTTCACTGAGATCAAATTTCTTCAATTTCGAAAAAGTTCCTTATTCAATACACCCCAATTATATATGCTAAACTTTGTTAGAAATGTTATCTTGATTCGTTCTACAAAGCACCAGGCGAAAAATTTTTTTTTAAATAGGCCCAATATATTTTTGTCTGCTGTTATCTTTCAAGACACAATTTTTCTTGATCACAGTATACCGTGTAATTAAACTGTTGTAGTGTCAAGCATTGAGTTGAATTAGCCGATAAGGAAATTTGTCAATGAGTGATCAGAGATAGCGAACAGGATCAGTCATACATCTGTCAATGAGGAAATCTAAAGCAGGATCATCCCTGATTCATCTTTTGTTTCACCATAATCTGATTTTACAAAGCTAAACTTCGTGAGATTTCATTCTTTTTATTTCTCATGAAAAAATGCAGTTCTTGTCGGATGAAGGAAAGGTTCTCTAGGTACTTTACAGGTGCGGTTGGTAATAATATTTAATGCTTGTAACATATTTTCGTTTTGAATTAAAGATAATTAAATAGTTGTATTATCCAGTTAAAATAAAATAGAGAATAATTTTCATTCGAAATTTTCATTTAGTAATGATTGCAGGTTATATAATACTTGAAAAATTGAGTATAAACACCGTGTCCTTACTTGATATCATATGCTTTTTCCTTGGTACCTCAAAAATCTTGATTGGATTTTTTCTAAGATCTATTAATATTTTAGATAAAGATTTTTTTCGTTATTATGACTATTGATTTCGGAAAGGAGGAGTTGACGAGTGAAATGAGATAGATTTCTTCTGATTCATTGTTAATCACAGCTAATATTTTTATTCTAACTTGATCGATCAGAATTGAAACGAGAAGAATGTAATAAGTAGCTTCATGTTGTGAAAACACAAGGCAATTAATTTAACAAGAGACTTGATGGCATTGTGCACTATTTGGAAGTAAAATGACAGGCAAAGAGTTCGAATCAATTAATGCTAAATTCAAATATATTATTCAAGAAATAAAATATATCATTTACATAAATGCTCCCTTGTAATACTATGATAAAGAACTTTTATTTTTTATATGCACGGGTTCAAATTAAGATCTGCATATACAATAAAGGAAAGAACATTGTTTTTCAGTCAGTTAAAACTGACTGATAATATATTTGTTCTATTTTCATAAACTTTATGTTGAAGATTATAACGAATAGTAGCATTTTATTTAACATAAAAATATCGAATTTTGATTAGTTTTTTCTTTTCTTAAGATATGAAGTATGAATAGACTCTGATAATATTAGAACGATGTGAATATAAAGCAATTCCTGCTTTGTATTTCATTTCTGCAAAATATAAATAAAAAATAATTTACTATTAATTTACTATTGTGCTTGTCAAAATTAAATAATAATCTGACAAGACGAAGTAAAGTCAAAGATGATTATTGCTATTTAATCACATTAAATAGAAATCAGATGAAAACATATTTAATCTATGCATTAAAGAGTGTGGGTATGTGAGTGTTGATCTGAGAGCAAATCATATTAAGAACCACAGTTACGCACACCTACACCTTGTTCAATCGTTTATTTTTGCAAATTGTTGCAAGCCTGTTCTAATTTGAAATTTTCGTTATGATACAGGAACAATTTGTGCTCTATATAATTTCTATAATATTTAGTCAATTTTATTGTTCAATATATCATTAGCAAGGGTATTACAAGTTGCTTCAGATATTTTATTTGAATAGATATTTCATGTTGGATATTGGTTTTAAACATCTCGTATGTATATACCAATCGCATATGAACATTCTTGTACTGTTTTATTTACGCATCGAAGAAAGAAAAAGTTATTTTGACAGCATGGATTTGTAGGAAATATTTTCCTGTAGAAAATTCTTATATTCGAAATCAAAATAAATTGTATCACTTTAAAAGTTATATACTTTAGTTATGTTATGAATAGTAGAAGTAAAAAAAGCTCACCATTTCCCTAGCAACAATTGAAGTGCAGGCTTCACTAAATATATATAACAAATTTTTATGCACCATGTCTTCGTAGATAGAGAGGATGAAATTTAGAGCAATGCACTATGTTAAGCTTCATTTGATACATTCTGGTTTGATGAGATATACATCCGCTCTGTTGCTAGGACTGCAATATGCTTTATTACTCCAGGTATTTATAACCTAACAGAGGTAAAGAAGTTAAGAGATATAATCGATTTGGATTTCAAATATAAGAGTTTCGTGCAGAAAAAGATTTTTTCCAAATCCGTTACCTTCTTTGATGTGTGAATAAGTATGTCTAATAAGTAAAACAAAAAAAGGAAACTCGAAAAGGACTACATAAATGCGATGGTAGGCGATCTCAATTTTTGCCAATGAGGTTTCAATTAGCATAGGAACGATCAACGATTTCACCTAGAATCGCTTCGGTTCTGTCGAACGTTTTCATTATTGTTCCTGTTCACTTTTAACTATCTCGGGAAAACGACAGAAGCCAAATCGTCAAAATCGCATTTTTACGAAAGTTACTGGAGATGAACGAAAACCCAGATTGAAGATTCAAAAACATTTGTGTCATCTCAACACATGGATCTTCCCGACAAATTTCGAATGAATTCCTAGTAACTTGCTGTTCTCTAGAACGTCGCGTCACAAAGTTGATATTTTGCTACAGTAAAACACACGCAAAGTATGAAGGCCGAATACGTACGGGATTAGCTACGTAAATGCTGTGTTTCGCATTAGAACTAATGATTAAGCTCGTAGTACATTTCACTTTGAATGAATTTCATGTATAATAATCCAACTCTTAGTATCCAATTGACTGCATTGCTTCAACAACACACCACTTACTAATAATCATCGGTTTTGGATTTTTCTTTTACACTGACATATTATCTGTTTCTTTTCTATTGAGTGTGAAATTTTATTGAAAACTTACTCATCACGATGTCTGCACGAGCAGTCGCAGTCGTATCCTTATCTGTGAATAATAAATAGTTCTTTATTTAATAAAAAAACACGCAAAATTTTCTTTCTAACATTTTTATTTCTTATAAAAGAAAATGTATAACTTCCACATAGAATAAATTTTATCGAAAAATAAATTGATTCATTCTATCAACAGAAAGCAATTCGACTTTTACCTTGTCAGCAAGTTTTATCTTTTTTTTTTAAATAAAAAAACAAAAGAAGGAATACAAAAGTTGCACGCACACATAATTATCATATACAGCACTCTCAAATGTATATCATTCATCATCGTCTGGTGGTGGTGACCGTAACTCAGGAAAACTTTGTTCCTGTATTGCAGTATTATATAACTGCTCATCAGATTCTTTTTTATTTGTAAGTTGAGATGAAAGTGGAACTATATTACTTTCATTTATTGGTAAATTTGCTGAATAAATTTGTCGGGACCCATCTAATCAAGAAAAAGAAACAAATTTCAAGTTATGTTTACTAAAGAGCTTACCAAGTGAATTTCGTCGGTCATTTGCTATTATTGTTTGTTGATTATTTGAAGTTTGTGAAATATTAAACAAAAGATATTGACTAATCTGTTTACATTCTCCACCTTCGTTTGTATTTACTTCATAAATATAAACAACACCATCATAGCCAGCAACAAATAATTTTAATATTTTATCGAAGCTAAAAATAAAAGAATAAAAGTAAAAATAAGAGCAAAACAGATTTTTCATATTATTTACGTATTCATAGCAATTGCTGTTTTCATTCCTGCTGATTGTAAATGTACAGCTGCAAATGCACGATCTTGTGTTAATACTTCTGATGTTTGTTTAGGTAAATAATAGGCAACATCGCCTAATAGACGACCAAATGAACCCATCCATGAACTTGTTGCTTCTGAAGGTCTAAAGAAATTCATTCAAATAAAATTAATCGATACAAATAATAATCATACTTTTCTTTTGCATGAATTAATCGAAATATATGTATTGTTTCTGTATTACTTGATGCTGCTAAAAACATTGAATCATGACTGAATGCTAATGAATAAATAGTTGCGGCTCTGAAATATTATATGAATATATATCAATGAATAAACATAAACAAGTTATTTACACATACCGTCGAACTCCACGACGAAATTCAAATAAACGTGAACCATCAACTGTACTATGAATACGAATAACTGTTCCCTTAAAAAAGAAAATATATTAATTAAAATTTCTTATTTATATTTTTACAATATACTTTATTCGATGCTGTTGCTATTCTAGTACCAGCCATATCGAATGCCATTGCAGCAAGTGTACTTTCATGAGCACTTACCATAACACCGGGTTTCTACATAGAATAAAATATATTAACATGTTTAAATTTAAAACAATATCTTCTATTAACCAAATTAGTTGTATCAAATATTTGTACTTCACCTATTATTGTACTTCCTGGATAAGCTAAATAAGGATTCTCATCATTTGATGATAATGCACAAAGACCATCACGATTTGATGGTATATCACGAATTGTATGTAATACTTTCATGTCATGTATATTATGAATATAAATACTTTCTTCCAAACAAACAATAAGTCTCTAAAAAAACAAAAAAAAAAAATTTTTTCTTCTGTTTTTTTCAGAAATAGAATTCTATTCATTTACCAAACGATTAAGTTTAACAGCAAGAATGGTATTTGCATATGAATATGACAATATTTCTGTGCCTTTCTTGAAATGACATACTTTTAATTTACGTGGTGCTTGAGTACTAACAAGTGCGATTAATGAACTTGAAAATAATCGTTCAAAAATGTAAACTGAATCATAAGCTATTACAGAAACAAGAAAAACAAAAATTATATAAATATTTTTCATTTGTGTTTTGAAATAAATTTTCTTTTCCTTACGAAGATATGGGATATTTATAAGAGGTTGGATTTCTAAATAAATTCAACATATTAGATTTTGATAAACTCATATACAGATTTTTAGCAACAGTAAAGCTACAAACAAGCATAAGACATGCTAACATTTATGTGAGTTTTCGTTCATTACTACAAATGATTATAGATTTGGCAAAACATACATTTTATGACTTTAATACCTTCAGACGATAAATAAAAATAGTATATTAACATCTATGAAAGACGAAAACACTAATTTCTTATCTTAAAAAATTATTCTCTTGGATGTTCATAACGAATAATATAAGAAGGTAAATGAAATATCATAATCATAGTTTAATTATGATATCTGAAGTGTAACCATTTGCTTGTAAATAAACAAATCTATTTTTAGTTGAAAAGTCAGAATATGCTTCACTAACACAATTACAATAAAACATCATATTACAATATACAAATTTCTCACTATAATTAAAATTATTTCAAGATAATTCGATGTTTGATCTTGCATAAACAACATGATTTTTAACATCTCCTTTTTCGCTAAAATTATAACCGATTGTTTGCTATTTTATTTAAAAGAAAATGCGAAACTACGGCATCCGATTTTTCAATGAAACTTTTTGTATTATTATATAAAAACGTTATGCATAAAAAGTAAGAATTAAAAAAAAGGCTTTATTAGATACTCTAATCTAACATGCTNAGATCTATTCTCAAGAGAAAGTTTCTCAAGTGAGACTCGTCAATCGGACTGATATTTTATCAATAATTAGGCACTGACGAAATTAGTAAATTTTCAGGGCATTCTAAAATAATAAACGAGATTTACTTAAGGGGAAAATTTAAAGTTGCAATTTTGTAATTCGATTTTTTCACAAATACCTTTTGGGAATGAAGAATTTCATAAAACTGTAATAACTAGGTTAGGACAACACATGAAAACGAACTCTTACAGGGTGTGAGCTTGTACATGAGTGAACAGATAGAACCCCCACATTCACACCCATATACGACTAATTAGTTGAGGAAAGCCTCTCGTAAGTTTCGAATGTTCTTATTTTTTGATATGTTCGTAAGTGTTACATATAACCTATAAATCAATTGACATTTTATTTGCAAATTAAATATATGGCAATTGAATGAATAATTGATGAGAATCAAACTGAAAATTTGATGATTAACTATTTTGCTCAAGTATTCTGTGTTTCAACTTATCTCAATATTTTAACAATCAGCAGTAACTAGCAAGATCAATTATATTTTTCAATTCATTCTATCATGCTTACCACAATAATGAATTTCATCAATTCTATTTTCTTGGCCAATAGTAAATAAAGAATAGCTGTTTGGTGTACCCATTGCCAATGATCTACAAAATAATTAGTATATTATCTAGTTTGGGTTTTTA